TGCTAATCCTCCTCTTTTTGCTGAGGAAGACCGGCTCTGAGCTAACATCTATTGCCAATCCTCCTCCTTTTTTTTCCCCAAAGCCCCAGTAGATAGCTGTATATCATAGTTGCACATCCTTCTAGTTGCTGTATGTGGGACGTGGCCTCAGCATGGCCGGAGAAGCGGTGCCTCGGTGCACGCCCGGAGTTCGAACCCGGGCCGCCAGTAGCGGAGCGCGCGCACTTAACCGCCAAGCCACGGGGCTAACTTTCTCCTTTCTAAGTACGATCTAGAAATAGGTTCCAAGTTAAAAGCCAGGCAGCACGCCTACGATGAACCCTCCCTCCATCCCTTGCGCCCGGCAACCCAGGCCGAGCACTGTCCCCTGCGCAACTCCTTGTCACCTGAAGGCAGCAGCCTCGCGGTTTTCCACTGTGTGGCCTCGCTGAATGATGCGGCATGCGTTGCCTGGGGCTGCTATAGCCAGTCCCCACACACTGGGTGCCTTACGACAGCACGGATCTGTCCTCTGACAGTCCTGAGGTCAGAGATCCACAGTGGCCCCCCGGGCTAGACCCACGTTGTGGGCAGGGCTGGTCCTTCCCGAGGCTCCAGGGAGACTCGGGTCTTACTCTGCCGACCACAGGGTGTCTAGTCTATCGCCTGTTTCTGTAGCGGTGTCACAGAATCACGTCTGATGGATGTTCTAGTGAGGAGCTCTTTAAACTCTGGGATATTTGAATGTGGCGTATTACGCCTTGCTGGGGACGCTGGGCCTGATTTGCTTGCATTTTATTTAGAATTTCTTCACCTCTGTCCGTAAGCGAGGGTCTTCTGTGGGTTTTGGGCCGACATTGGTAGTATTGGGGTTATTGGGGTTGTGCTGGTCTCGCAGAACATGCCCTAGAACCAGGTAAATGACATGAGTGACCTGTCCCCTGCTGCCCTCGGGGGGAAACCCTTCAGATGGATAGAGACACTAAAAGAACACACACTTTGCCCTCCACCCACTCGGTGGGGTTTTCGGGCTGTTGCACGTTCTTTGAACGTACGACGGCTTTGGTTTTCTACGCCCATGGACTGCTACCATGGTTGGGGTTCTCTCGTTTTCCCTTCCAAGTGTCGTGTGGGTGTCCTTCGTCCACCCGGTGCTCCTTAGCAGTGGGTGCTTCAGTGGTTTCTGCTCTCTCGCTGGCACATGCACGACCGGGTGGACTCGCCTACGGACGAGAAAGTGTGTGGGATGGAGTCCTGAAGGCGCCTTCGCCGGCAGAGCCCTGCATGCAGCAGACTGAGCTGGGTGGGGTGTGTCGGGCCCCGCCCTCTGCTCCCCTCCCACCCCCGTGCCCTGAACTGGGGAGCTCCACGCACACCCCCATCCCCTGTCGAGTGTCTCTGTGCCCTCTGCCCTGCCTGCGTGTCAGGCCCTCTGCAGGCATCCTCCCAGCTCCCCCCGACTGGAGGAAGCAGCTTGGCGTGGCTTCTGTCTGGGCCTGGCCCAGTGGGAAGCCCACTGCCATCTCGCCCCACCCCCAGGATCTCAGGGTCCTGTCTGTAGTCTCCACCCCCTCTGGTTGTCATGCAAATTCCACCAGCCACCCTGGGAAGTCCCTGGAGGACCAGCAAGTCCCCGGCTAAGTGGCCTTCTCTGGGGCCCAGGTGCTGCGCCCCTCACCCCACCTGTCAGCGTCTGCGGGGCAGGGCCTGTGTAGAGGGCCGCTCTGGAAACCTTGACATGCTGCAGAACCCCGATGGGGGTCGGTGGAGGCCTGGCCCCTAGTAGGTTCTGGAAGGCTGGTCCTCCGCTCTTGCCTGCAGCCCCAGGGGTCGCGGCCCGGGATGAGGCTGTGGCCGTGGCCTCTGCAGGCCTGCTTACGGCTGTTTCCCCCTCTTCCTGTTGCAGGGCTTGGCTATGACCCCTACAACCCTGAGCTGCCCAAGCCCCCGGTGCAGAGGGAGAATGGCGCCCTGGGCGGAGGGGACGAGACCCGCTCGGACATCCTGGAGCTGGAGCTGGTCAACCAAGCCATCGAGGCCGTGCGCTCCGAGGTGGAGCTGGAGCAGCGGCGGTACCAGGAGCTGCTGGAGACGGCCCGCGAGCGTGGCTCCGCCGAGGCCCCTGCCCTGGCGCCCCGCGGGCCCGCTGCCTGCAGCGCCGGCCTGGACGAGGACGCCTTCCCGCTGTCCTTCGACTACAATCCTGGCGGCCGCAGCCTGTTGAGCCCTGATGCCGGCTACCAGCCCACCCCCCTGGCTGCTCCTGCTGAGCCGGGCAGCAAGTACTCGCTGGCGTCTCTGGCCCGGGCTCCGGGCCACGGCGGAGGGGGTGGCGGCGCCCTGGAGTACGTCCCCAAGGCCGTGAGCCAGCCCCGGCGCCACAGCCGCCCCGTCCCCAGCGGCAAGTACGTGGTGGACGACTCCAGGCCGTCCACGGACCTGGAGTACGACCCGCTGTCCAACTTCTCTGCCCGGCTGCTCGGCAGGGCCAGCTCCCGGGACGACAGGGCCCCCAAGCGGCCCCGGGGCCCCCGGGCCCGTGAGCCCCGCACTCCCGCACTCAAGAAGCCCTGCCACCCCCCCGGCGGCTGCGAGGCCAGGTTCTCCGACTCCGACGACGACGCCGCCGTGGCTCCAGGTGACGGGCCCGCCACCTGCAGCCCCCCGAGAGCCCAGGTGGGCGCCGAGAGCAAGGCCCCTGGGGAGCCGGGCTCCAGGGGGGGCCAGGAGCCCGAAGAGGGCGGCCTGCGGGAGACCAAGGAGATGGCTGTGCAGTACGACGTGGGGGACCTGGGGCAGCCCCCCAAGGGCCCGGGCGAGCCGCCCCTGGCCAAGCCCAGCTCCCCGGCCAGGGCCTCCCAGGACCGCAGCAACCCCAAGGAGGGAAGACCCAAGAAGAAGACAAGGGGGGCGCCGCCGGCCCCCGGCCACAAGGACGGTGTCCGGAAGACAAATGGGGGTAAGGAGGGAGAGCGCGCGAGGCTGGCCGAGAAGCCCTGTGCGGACAAGAGGGGCCCGCAGGCCGGCAGCCCCCGGCACAGGGCGGAGCGGCCCCAAGGGACCAAGAAGAAGCCATCTCTGGCCACCTCGGTGGCCAGCTCAGGGAAAGACCGGCCGCGGCCCAGTCCCACGCCAGGGGGCGCCCCCCAGCTGCCGGACAGGACGGGCGGGAAGAGCCCAGCGGGCAAGCTAGGGGAGCGCAAGGCTCGCTCGCTGGACGAGGGCGCCTCCCGGGACGCCCCCAAGCCGCCGAGGCGGGCCTTGAGCCACGTCGACCTCTTCGGGGACGAGAGCGAGGATGAGGAGCCGGGGCCCGCGGAGACCGGACTCCGGCCCCCCGCCCCCCCCAGCCTCAGCTCCACCTCCGACTCGGACTCCGACTCGGACTCCAGCCTGGGCCTCTCCGCTGCGGGGGGGCCGCCCAAGCGCCTCAAGGCCTCCCCGCCCCCCTCGCCGGCCTTGTCCTCCTCCTCCTCGTCCTCGGGGGCGGGCTCGGACGTGGACTACGCCGCCCTGGAGAAGGAGATCGACTTCGACTCCGACCCCATGGAGGAGTGCCTGCGCATCTTCAACGAGTCCACCAGCGTGAAGACGGAGGACAAGGGCCGGCTGGCCCGGCAGGTGAGGCTCCGGGCTCTGTCCCCGGAGGGTCCCTGTGACTGGAGCTCAGCGCTGGCCGGCAATGGAGGCAGCTCGCTCAGTGTCAGCCTCTTGACTCGTCCAAAATTCAGGGACCCTCGGTGGCTGCCTGCTGCCCCCCTGCACCCTGTCCAGAAAGAGGACCCTGGCTTCCGGCCCACCCGGCGGGGTTCCTGCAGCAGCGATCAGAGAGCCTTCTGGCACAGGGGTATCAGGACCCCGCTGTCCTGCCCCCCCCCCCCAGCTGCTCTCTGCCCCTGTCTCCCCCTCTTCTTCTCCTCCCCGCCCCGGCTTCTCTTCCCTCCCCTCCCTCCTTCGTCCTCCCTCCCAAACCTTGGCCAGCCCCGACCTGTCTGGGTCTCTCTGTCCAGTGTCTCCACATTGGCCACCAGAGGGAGCTCGCTTTAAACAAAGGATGTGTGGAGACTGGCACGAAACCTGCAGCTTCTCTTGGGGGCGGGTCACAGGGTTGGACCGTGGGCTCCTGGGTCCCTCAGCACCCCGCCCTTCAGGGCCCTGAGGTGTTGCCTCCATCCCCTCCCTCCCCACCTTTCTGAGCCCCTGCCCTGCACGAGGGAGGGGAGCAGGAGGCAGGTGGTCCTGGCGTGGCGAGTGCAGGGCTGAGGCACATCTGCAGAACTGGCCATCAGGGAGGCCTGGGAGGTGGGCTCAGGACTCTCAGCGTTGGGGAGCCTCGGCTGGGGGGGCCGGGAGCCCCGCCCTCGAGCCACCCTACTGCCTGCCCCCCATGCCCTCTCGGGCCTGGGAGTTACACAGCCTCCCCGTGCCCAGACCAGGGGGAGAGGAGCCCACAGATAGGTGTGGGATGGCGAGGTCAGGGGAGGAGCCTTGTTGAGGGACAGGTGTGTGTTTCAGCCCCCCAAGGAAGAGAAGATCGAGGACAAGGGCCATTCGGGTCTGACCACTCTGTTCCCTGGGCAGAAGAGGAGAATTTCTCATCTTTCCAAGCAAGGCAAGGAGGTAAGGGTCTGCTCTGGGTCCTGGGTAGAGGCTGGCAGGAGGCAGACAGGCCCCCAAGTGCAGAAATGAGGTCCCCGTGGTCCTTCGCTGATGAATTCCTTTGGCAGATGTGTCCCCGGCACTCCCTGTGTCCTGGTAGAGAAGTGGCTGGGGCCCGAGTCAGGTCTTCGTGGTATGCTCAGTGAGGGGGGCGGGGCACGGAGCAGGGGGAGTGAGAGGAGGGGCGGCCTGAGTGACAGAGCCCTCCAGCAGGGTCACACTGCCCTGTCCCAATTCCAGCTTGACGTGCACTGTGTGATTTTGGGCAAGTGGCCCGACCTCTCTGAGTCCTGGTTTTCTCCCCTGTGGCCTGGAGACACACAGTCGTCAGGTCACTGTGGGGGTGGTCAGAGAGTTAGCACAGGGAAGGCTGGGCCAGAGGACCGGGCTCCAGGCTGAGCAGCCGGGAGCTGCACTTGATCCAGTCACCGACCTCTCCACGGAGGAGGGCTGGGATTCCGGAATCTGGAGTCCACAGGAGATGGGATCAAGCAGGATTGGATTGGTGGGCCAATCTAATCAGAGGGCCCTGGGATTCCTGCCTGCCCTGTGCCTGTATCGAGGCTGAGGGCATGGTCTGGGCGCTCAGAAGCCAGGCGCAGGCTCCCCGGGACAGCGAGGCAGCATGAATTTGAGGACCAACACGCTGAGCTGGTTCCCACGGGGTCACCCGCGAGCTCAGAAGAAGGCATGGGGGGGTGGCCTGCCCAACCCCAACCCCAACGTTGGAGGCCCTGTCGTACCGCCCATCGCCCTACTGTCAGCCTGCCGCCCTGAGTGGCCTGCTCTGGGTGCCCCCGACATACAGCCAGGTCCCGAAATTTGTCATCGTCCAGGCGGAGCCTGTGAGGAGAGGCCCGGCACCCCCCGCCCGGCCCCCGACCGCCCAGGAGGTGTGCTACCGGCGGGCCCAGCAGGCGCAGAGGGAGTCGGCCAGCTGGCTCCAGGCTGCCCAGCGGCCAGCTGAGAAGGCGTCCTCCGTCCACATCTCGGCCCCTGGCGAGAAGAAGAGGATCGCCCACGTCCCCAACCCCCGCCTGGCTGCAGGTGAGTCCCAGGGCAGGCGAGGGGGCCCGGCTGGGTCTCGGTGTGCTCGTCTGTAAACTGGGCGTGAGAGTCTCCCCAGTCAGTGGGAGGCTGAGGCAGGCCTGGCACGGCGCCCGGCGGCTCTGGGCCTCTCCTGGCTTTGGTGTTGGCCGGGGAGAAACTGAGGGGTGTCTTATTCTGGCCCCCAGACCTGGAGCCTCTTCTTGGCTGGCCTCCTGCCTGCCCGAGGCCCTGACCCAGAGTCTCCCTGGGGCTGTCCCTCTCTGTCCTTGCCGCCCTGGGCTCTGTGTGCCTGCCTCCCCCGGGCTGCTGGGCTACGGGGGCCGGCAGCCTGTGGGCACTGGGCTGGAGGCGGTGGGGACGGGGCCGGGGACAGGGACGGGAGCTGGCCTTGGGAGGGGCTGGGTGCTTCCTCCTGGTCCCGCTCCCGGGGACACTTTTCCCCACTTGCCCTTGTCTGGAAGCTGGGCACTCCGCAGCAGTGCCGTGGGCGGGACACCCAGTGGCGGCGTCTGTGCGTTGGTGCGTCTGGAGCTGAGGCGGTGTGACAGAGGCCAGGGCTGCCAGCGGCTCCGGGAGGACGTGTTCAGATGCATGTTCGGCTTCCCTTGGGCTGGGGGCCATCTGACCAGCTCCCGGGGCACCCTTGCTCCCGTGCTCGAGTGCTCAGTTGTTTGGGCCCCCAGGGCCCCAGAGGGCGCCCCACACGGTGGTCTTGCAAGTACAGGCATCTGCAGCTCTCCCCGGGTTTTCCCTGGCCCAGAACCTTCTTCAGGAGAAGCTCTCCGGTCCTGATCCCTCCCTCTCGGGCGCCTGAGTGAGACCCCGGCAGGAGAGGCGTGGGCTGTGGGCGTCAGCAGCGGTTCAGCCTCAGGGAGGGGGATGACCCTGAGCCACACGCACTCTCGCGAGCCTGCCCCTTTGGCACTTGGGGTGTCCAGTTCATGGCCAGTGGCTTGGGACCGCCCCTGCCATGGTCATCTCTGACCTGCTCAGGACGAGGTGGCCTGTGGGAAGTCCAGCATTCTTAGATGGGTGGCGCTCCCGAGCCGCAGGGGACTCTCCTCGAATCTTAGGAGTCCTGTCCGTTCCTTTGTGCTTGCTTTCCGTTCACTCTGTGTCCAAATGGGCCTAGAACCTGTCCTTCCATCCTTGCAAAGGCCGCATTCTGCCCAGTGGGTGGCTCCCTTTCTTCCTGCGTGGCCACGAGGCCGATCCTGGCATAGGACAGGCCGCAAGTGGCCTGTGGGCACCATGGTCCCCGCCCCCAGTGCTCTGTGGGGAGACTGTCTGGTTTGTGATGTCATCAAAGGGGGAGGCAGAACACAGGGGCAGCTGCGGGCAGGTGGCTGGTCACAGTGCCCAGGCCGGGCTGTCCCGTGCCCTCCGGTCCTCAGCCCGGGAGCCAGGGCCTTTCCTCCCTCAGACGTCAATGCCTCGGCGTCGGGGGCTGGAACATGCGGCAGAGGCTGCCCACGTCCCCCGTCACTCGCCGGATCCTCCCTGCGGCGGCCTTGCCTGAGCCGGCCTCTGGAGCCCCGTCTTTGTGTCCCCCCGCTCGATGGACTTGCCCGAAAGCAGATAGAGCCTAATGTCATTCCACAGCCCGCGTCCCCGACCCCAGCCCTTCCCCCTGTGCTCCGAGATGCGCGTCCTGCTGACGCTGAATGACCGCGGCTGCCTGGTGCTCTGCAGCTCGGTGATGGGCGTGCTCTCCTCCTGCGCTCACGCCCCCGCTGCCCCGCCAGCCCCCACAGGTGCCAAGAGGACCCTCGAGGCCAGCAGTAGCCAGCCCCTCAATGGCCCCGAGCCGGGCAGCCAGCCCCTGAAGACCCGCACGTTGTCGGGCATGGCGTCCAAGACCACCACCACCGTCACCCCCAAGCGCGTGGCGCACAGCCCCTCCTTACAGGTAACTGCGCCCCCAGCCCACCCACACACCCAGCAGCACAAGCTTTCTTTTCCCTCTTCCCACTCCCACAGTTGTTTTTCTTTTAATTAATAGATTTTTATTTTTTTATTTTTATTTTTTTTTTGCTGAGGAAGATTGGCCCTGGGCTAACACTCGTGCCCATCTTCCTCTGCTTTATATGGGAGGCTGCCACAGCATGGCTTGACGAGCAGTGCGTTGGTCTGCGCCTGGGATCCAAACCTACGAACCCTGGGCTGCTGAAGCAGAGCACGAACTTAACCACTGTGCCACCAGACTGGCCCCTAGATTTTTATTTTTTAGAGCAGCTTTAGTTTACAGAAGCACTGGGCAGAGAGCAGAGTTCCATGTGCCCCTCCCCCTGCCCTCAGTTTCCTCTCTTGTCAACACCAATGTGGTCACCCGTTGGCACCAACAAGCCAGTGGCGAGCTCTCATAGTCACTAAAGCCCCGAGTTTCCGGCAGGGTCCACCCTGTGCGTGGTATGTCCCGTGGGGTCTGAGAAAATCAGAGGACCAGGCGGGGCGTGCCACCCTCTGTGATTCTGTGTCCCCTCTAGAGTTTAAAGAAGCCCATTATCCCAAAAGAGTTCGGGGGCAAGGTCCCCACTGTCATCCGCCAGCGGTATCTCAACCTGTTTATCGAGGAGTGTCTCAAATTCTGCTCTTCGAACCAGGAAGCCATAGAGAAGGTGCGTGCTCCCGGGAGGTGGCGGCGGGGGGCGGGGGCCAGGCTGAGGGGCTGCACCATGTCCTGGGATGTCTCCCCGGTCCGCCGCCCCCGGGCTGCTGTGACAGACATGGGTGGGCTCCTGGGCTCCTGGGCCCCGGGCCACAGGCTGAGCAGCGTCTGTCCCCAGGCACTGAACGAGGAGAAGGTGGCCTACGACCGCAGCCCCAGCAAGAACATCTACCTGAGCGTGGCTGTGAACACCCTCAAGAAGCTACGGGGCCTGGGCCCCAGCGCTGCGCCTGCTCTCCACAGTGAGTCGGGCAGGGGCGGCCTGGGGGCTGCCTCTAGAAGATTCTGGCCTGGGCCTCCAGCAGAGGGCCAGAGGCTGCTCTGACACCCTTAGGCGGGGCCGCCCCCGGGCTGCAGGAGCGGGGCGGCGTGTTTGCCGTTCTGAGCCCTGAGAGCCTCAGACAAAAGGCCCCACGCGTGCTGGCCCGGCCGTCAGCTGCCGTGGGAGACGGCGTCGGCCCCGCGCCCTCGGAACAGCCTCTCCTCGCTATTAACCACCCTCCTCTGTGAGCCGGGCTCTCGAGAGCCGGGGCGCCCGCTAATGGGGCGGCCTCTTCAAAGTGTGAGGCGCGGCTGGGGCTGCTCAGCGCATTAAGCTTGGGATGCGCCGGGCGAGGACGCTTCACGACTGCTCTTGAAGGGTGCATTAGGCGGCGTCGGCTTTTCCCGTTCTCGCCTCGGGCACCCTGCCCCGTCCCCCCCCCCCACTCCAGACGGGCTTCTCGCAGAGCCCAAGGAGGCCGTTAGAGCTCGACTTAAATTCTTTCCCTTCCCCTACGAGGGGTGAGAACGCCTTCGGGGGGACATCCGGGGGTTCCAGGCAGCCGAAGGCCTGCTGGTCCTGAGAGTTAAGGTGGGGGCGAGTTGGCTGTGAAGGTCGCATGAGGTCAGGCTTCTAGTTGACTCTCCACGCCCTCCCTTCCAGAAAGCGGTGGCCGGAGGGTCGTGTCCCACGAGGCGGTGCTGGGGGGCAAATTGGCTGCCAAGACCAGCTTCTCGCTCAGCCGCCCAAGCAGCCCCCGGGTGGAGGATCTGAAAGGTGAGGCTGGTTCCTCCACGGTCTGGCCCTGCCGTCCATGCCCCCCAACCCCTGGCTCCCTCCGCCCGCTGCTCCCCTAGAGGAGGAGAGGCGTCCCCACGCCCAGCAGCATCGGGCCAGGCCTGCCCTCGGCCTGGCCCAGCCTCTGTGGGCTGACCGCCTCTCCCGGTGTCCCCAGGGGCTGCCCTGTACAGCCGCCTCAGGGAGTACCTGCTCACCGAGGACCAGCTGAAGGAGAACGGCTACCCTTTCTCGCACCCCGAGCGCCCGGGGGGCGCTGTCCTCTTCACGGCCGACGAGAAGAAGCCCAAGGACTGTGAGTTGCTTCCCGCGGGGAAGGCCGTCTGGGCAGAGGGAACAGCATGGGTGAGCGGGTGCAGACGCAGAGAGAGGTTCGTGGCTTGGCGGCCGGCCTGACGCCTCACGCCTCCTCCTGTCCACCTGTCCCCACAGCCTCCTGCAGAATCTGCTGCCGCTGTGGCACCGAGTACCTCGTGGCCTCCTCAGGCCGCTGTGTGCGCGATGAGGAGTGTTACTACCACTGGGGGCGGCTCCGCCGGAACCGAGGTGAGGCGCGGCCGCCCCCTTCCTCCTGAGTCCTGGGCGATGGACTGGGCTGGCGCTGCTCTCTCCATCTGAACCACTTAATTTTCTTTCCTTCGTGGTTCTCTATGACAAAAGGAGTACAAAGCCTTCCTGTAACAGTGTGCAAGTGCAGATAAAGGGAGGCCCCCCGGCCCCGTTGCCCCCACGCGCCCTTCCTCTGCGTCTGGGCGCTTGCAGAAAGACGTGGGCGTTTGCACAGCGGGAGCCCGGGGCTCGTCCTGGCCTGCAGCTGGTGCTGTCATTTAGTTACCGTGTTCCCACTCCCGGGAGCGCATGGGCCTCCTCGGGCTGCCCGCCGGCTGGGCAGCCTGAGGGTCTCCCCCTGGCTCAGCGCTCCTGTGGGCGGGCCTCCCTGGGGTCCACGTCTGGTGTGTCCTCACGGCCGACCCGGGGAGGGGCCTGCACAGGGTTGGGGTCTGCTGCTGCCCTGCATCCTTGCCCCCTCGTGGGGCCCGGCGCCCCTCCGGGAAAGGCAAACCCGGTGTCGGTCACTTCCTGTGGGAGGCGTGGGGCCGGCCGGGCGTGGGGCGGGACTGCCGCTGACGCCCTCTCCCTTTCAGTGGCTGGTGGCTGGGAGACTCAGTACACGTGCTGCTCGGCTGCCATCGGCTCCACCGGGTGTCAGGTCGCCAAGGTAGGTCTCCTGGGCCCTGCTTGCTGCTGCCTCGTCCCGTCGGGAGCTGAGGTGTGGCTGGGCTCCCCTGAGCTGCCCTCTTCCCGTCCTTTGATTTATCTGCCTTGTCTGGTGGCCTTGGAAAGAGCAGGACCGTCTGTGAACACCTCAAGCAGCTGCCTGGCCCCTGAGCCTGGCCTTGTGGCTTTTCCTGAGGTCCCTTCCCCCCCGCCCCCGCCCCCTGCCGAGCCTGCTGCCCTTACCTCCCTTTCCCTCCCCACCCTCAGCAACATGTGCAGGACGGCCGGAAGGAAAACCTCGAAGGGTTTGTGAAGACCTTTGATAAAGAACTTTCGGAAGATGGTCACCCGGGAATCTACGCCCTCGACTGTGAAATGGTGAGTCGGCCCGGCTCTGACTCCAGTGCGCAGTGAGTACTTGTTGCCCCTGGAGGGGTGTTGCTGCTTGCTGGGGCTGTCCCGGCTCCTCCACCAAAAGCTTTGAGCCAGTGGAGGTTTTAGGAGAAAGAGCAGATGAAGAGCCGTGAACAACAGCCAGGTCCTAGTCTCCCTTGGGGGTCAACTTATGTCTGTAGGCCTGAGGCACATTTCACAGCCTGCGGGCATCTGCTCAGAAAGAGCTTCTCTTCTCTCACCAAGTAGATGCTCGCTCTTCACCCCTTGACACACGCCATGCACGCTGTACCACGCGGCCTGAACACACACCACGCACACTGTACCACACGGCCTGAACACACACCATGCACACTGTACCACGCGGCCTGAACACGCACCACGCATGCTGTACCATGCGGCCTGAACACGCACCACGCATGCTGTACCATGCGGCCTGACATACACCATGCACACTGTACCACGCAGCCTGACACACACACTGTACCACGCAGCCTGACACCCACCACGCATGCTGTACCATGTGGCCTGACACCCACCACACATGCTGTACCACACGGCCTGACATACCACGCACGCTGTACCACGTGGCCTGACACATGCGACACACACTGTACCATGTGGCCTGACACGTTGTGCATGCTGTATCACGCGGCCTGACACTCTACCATGTGGCCTGACAGGCCGTGCATGCTGCACGACACAGCCAAGTTGACTCAGGACTTGCCTGCAAGCCAGGGCCCCCTTGGCACTTGGGGCCGTGTGGGCGTAGCAGGCGTAGTGCCAGCTTTAGGAGAGGGTGCCCTGGGTTCACACCCGCTCTGCCCCCCAGAGCATGGGGCCAGCACCTCTGCCCACAGGGACTGGGGACCAGAGTGGCCTTGTCATGAGCATTGGGCTTGCAGTGTCAGGTCTGTGGTGCGCGTGGAGGGAGAGGGAGGGCCGCCGTGTCTGAGGCGTGTCCTCCCGGCCCCACAGTCCTACACCACGTACGGCCTGGAGCTGACGCGCGTCACCGTGGTGGACACAGACATGCAGGTCGTTTACGACACTTTTGTCAAGCCAGACAACGAGATCGTTGACTATAACACCAGGTGCGGCCCGGCCCCCAGTCAGACCCCACCCCTATCGGTCCCCTGCCCAGCTCCTGGGTTGGGGACCCCTGGTGTCCTCCGCTGCCACGCTAAGGCCCCTGTTCCTCCCGCCCAGGTTTTCGGGGGTGACCGAGGCTGACCTCACTGACACGAGCATCTCGCTGCGGGATGTCCAGGCCGTCCTGCTGAGCATGTTCAGCGCCGACACCATCCTCATCGGACACAGCCTAGAGAGCGACCTGCTGGCCCTGAAGGTGCCCCGCCCGCCCCACGCTCACCTTGCTAAGGGTCCTCAGAGGGCGGAGGTGGCTGTCGTGGCCCTGGTGCCCTCAGCTGGGGAGGGAGCTCTGGGGTCAGTGACTGGGCGTTCCTCATCTCCCTCCTGGGCCATGCCACTCAGGGACTCCCTGGGCACCTGTGCATCCCAGCCGCCCTAGGCCCTGGGTCCAGGGCCCTGACGGCCGTCCGCCCCCAGGTCATCCACAGCACCGTGGTGGACACGTCTGTGCTCTTCCCGCACCGCCTGGGCCTCCCCTACAAGCGCTCCCTGCGGAATCTCATGGCCGACTACCTCAGACAGATCATCCAGGACAACGGTGAGGCCTGGGGGACTGTGGGGGCAGTGGGCGCGGGACCGTGGGCTCGCCCACCCTCACACGTCGCCTGCTCCGCAGTGGACGGGCACAGCTCCAGCGAGGACGCCAGCGCCTGCATGCATCTGGTGATCTGGAAGATCCGAGAAGACGCCAAGACCAAGCGGTGACCGCCGCCCGCCCGCTGCCCGCCCGCCGCCTCTCCCACAGCCCTGCCCGTCCTTAGCCCCAGGCCCCTTCCAAAACAGTGCAATAAATCTCGAGAGCTAACCCTGTCCACGGCGCCCCCCGAGAGCCGGGAGGAGAGCGCCCGACGCCGAGCCTGGAGCCCCGAGCCCCCGCCACCCCCACGCCCTGCCCGCGCCCTGCTCCAGACCTCTGTCCCCGTAGACTGCTGCTGCCCGAGGCTGAGGCCGGCCCGTTCAAGCACCCGGCAGCGAGGCCGCCTGCCCCTGCCCCTTCTCAGCGGCGGGGGCGGGGGCGGGCCGGGCAGGCTTGTCGCGGGCGGTTTGAGACAGGGGTTGTCTTTTTTTATTTTGTATTATTATTTTTATTATTTTTAATTTAAACCTGATGACTCGCACAGTTGTCTTCCCGCACCCGGAGGAGCAGTTACCCTGGTGCTGCCTGCCCTCCTAGGGGCTGGGGTGCAGCCGGGAGCGGTCAGCCGGCGCCTCGGCAGCCACCAGGACCCAAGAGTCCAGCCCGGCCTGGGCCTGCACAGGTGGGAGGGCCGCCCCCAACCCGCCTTGGCTCTGAGACCTCTGGAAACCAAGCCAGCCCCCCGCCAGCCCCCAGGCCGCAGGTCTTCCCGCCAGGGCCCGCCCTCAGAGGGGCTGTCTGTAAAGGCCGCAGCCCCACAGGGCCCTGAGCCCTCTCCCCCAGCCCCGGGCAGGGACAGAATAAATGTTTGTATGGATTTTAGATCTCCTGGCGTCTGGTGGTGTTCTTGGTGCCAGGTTAGGACACACTCTGTCCCTGTAACCGGGGAAGCAGGAATGGGACTTAGTTCACTGTCCGGAAAACCAGCTTCGGCGCCTGGGCTGCCCCGGGGCCCTGCCATCTGCCCTGGGGACGCAGTGTTCCCAGCAGACCCACAGCCCCGGGGGCCTCAATTTGGGTCACCCTTCCGGCCCCCTTGGGGTGCTGTGAGTGGAGCTGGCTTTGCTCACTGCCGTGCCCACCCGAGGAGGGTCCGGGAGTGAGGAGCCCTGGACAGCCACTGCGCCGCGGGTCTGAGGAGCTACTGCGGAAGGGAAGGGCAGCCGCTGGCCCATTGCGCACACCCAGTGTTGTTCTGGCTCGTGGGGGTGCGACGGCCAGGGCTGTTCAGGTCCCCACTTTTAATTTATTTAAAGTAAAAAGGGAAGCCACAAAGAGGTTCGTGGAGTGGGAGATGCTGGGGGGCCCCAGGTCCAGATGCCTGAGCACAAAGGCTGGAGGAGGCCCACGCCACCCTGTCACTCGGGATTCTGCTAAAGGCTGAGAGGGCAGGGTCCCGGGCTGAGGACATGGCAGCCAGGGCTGCAGGGGAGAACCGAGTTCCCTCTCCGGGTCCTGGGGGGCCCCTGCCGTTGCGCCCCTCTAGGGGCTGTTCTTGTGACCAGTTGACTTGCCCCCGCCTCTTCTGTAAACAAGGAGTTGTTTTGTAAATAAACGGTGCAGGCAGCTTCACAGAAGCCCTGTTTCTGAGTGGTGTCTGCTCTCTGTCCCCCAGAGCACAAGAGTGCCCCAAGGAGGCTGTGGGCGGTTGGGGACAGACCTCCCCAGCTCTGGAGGTGTACACACTTTCAGCTTGCCAACCCAATGGGCCTTTGCAAACCTATTTCTTGCTGCTCAGGAAGCTGCTCTGCCCACTGATACCATCCCAGGGAGGAAATTGGGTCCCCTGACTCCCACCTCACGACTGCACCCAGTGAGGTCTCCCCTAAAGGCTGTTGGAACAATTTGTTCCAGCCCTGCTCCCCAGGGGCTTGCTCATTAATCTCTGGGTGGGGCTGGATGAAACGTTTGTTGAGTGAATGAGTGAAAGGAGAGGTTTACCTGGTGCCCCCCAGAAGCCAAGCAAGGTGTGCAGACCCGGGCTCCAAAGAAATGTGAGTGGGAGGTTGCTGCTCTGATGGGGGGTTGGGTCAGACCTTGCGTGCCGTCCTCAGGACCCGCATCCATTCATTCTTTTATTAATTCACCCAACATTTGTTCATAGGTGAGGCTAGAGGGGGGCCCTAGCCCCAGGCGGGGAGGGGAGGCTAGGGCACAGAGTGAGACACAGGCAACGGTCTGTTGGGTCGGGGCTGGGCCAGAGGGAGGGACCCCAAGGTTAGGGGGAAGGGTGGTGACGGTGGGGAAAGCGCCCAGAGCCCACCCTACTCAGGACCCGATTTACAAGGTCCCGCCCTTAAATGACGGGCCCCTTAATGCCCTTCCCTTATTGAGGTCCCTTCATCCTGCCCTGCTGTGTAAAGACCTGACCTCCGATCCATCCCAGCCCCAGCCCCAGCCCCCGCTGCAAGGCTAACCGCAGATCTTGGCCCCAGGCTCTGCTTCTGCCCTGGCCCCGCCCCTACCCTGGCCTTCTCTGTAAGACCCCGCCCAGCCCCGGCCCGTCTTGACTTCTTAGTCCCGCCCCCTGAGGCCCCACCTTCGCCCTGCCGCTATCCTTGCCCTCTCCAAGGCCCCGCTCGGCCCCGCCTTCTGCCCCGGGGCCGCCCTCAGCCTCATGCCGCCCTTCGGGCCCAGCCTTCTGCCCCGGCCCCATCCTTTGGCCCGGCCCCATCCCGCCCCTCGGGCCGCCTCCCGCTATGACCCCACCCCTAGACCCTGCCTCCTGTTCTGACCCCGCCCCTTGCCCGCGCCTTCTTACTCGGCCCCGTGCCGCCCCTGGGCCCTGCCTCCTGCTCTGACCCCGCCCCTCGGCGCTACCTCCTGCTCTGGCCCAGTCCCTTGTCCTGGACCCGCCCTCGACCCGGCCTCCCGCGCTGACCCCGCCCTTCAGCCCCGCCTCCCGCTCTGATCCCGTCCCTCGGACCCGCTTTCTGCCCTGGCCACGCCCATAGGCTCCGCCTCCTGCTCAGACCCGGCCCCTTGGGCTCGCCCTCTGCCCTGGCCCCGCCTCCCGGTCTGACCCCGCCCCTTGGGCCCGCCCTCGACACTGGCCCCGCCCCCCGGCCCCGCCCCAGG